GGAAAAGTTTTTCCTTTGCGAAACCTCGATGCAAGTAGGCTATTTTATTTTTTACTTGACGTCTCGATGAGAGCTAGCTATGAGCTGAGTCAAACGGTGACTCGCCAGGTATGCGCTTCTCTACAGATTAATCAGGTATGTTTTTTTGAGCTATTTCATGTAATGCTTGGTGTTTTGGCAATTTCTCCTGGTATAAGTTCGAGTTGGAGCGTTCTAGATCCATAATCACTTCGCCACCAAATTTGTTGGGTAGCAATTATTAACGGCTCTTTAGTAACACCTTTTTATATATTGCCAACATGGATGAATAAGACAATAAGATTTATTTTTTTGTAATTTGCGTGACTCCGGTCGTGTCTTTTGCCCTTTAGTAGCCGTTATATTTCTTTCAACTGTTGCTCGCTTTAAAGCCAACAGCATCTGGAGTTTTGTTATTGGTGGTGTTGATGCTTAGAAATTCCAAAGTATTCCAAAGTTTAGATGCGTTTTAGATGCGTGAAGGGTTTCTGAATTAGGCCATTTTATGCAAGACGATTTTAGCTTAGTTGTTTCTAAGGTTTCTATATTATTTGCCTCTCTTTTACTGGAACGATATAGGGTTTCTAGCCTTAAGTGGGGTACATTAGCATGGAGATTTGTTTTTAGTTCAATTTTATGAGCAAAGTTATTTCGTAAGCGCCCTTGAAAAGACAATTGGGTGCTTAAGCCTTAACACTATAATTGTGCTTTTAACTTCTTTCTTCGTGTTATGCTCCTTGGCTAAGAATGCGAACTGAAAGGAATTACAATTTGCAAACATTTCTTGTTGATGCCGTTTTCATTTGCCACCGCTCCTGGTTCCTGAATATCTTAAAAGTTTTTATTTTACCACGCAGTGATAATAAAATTTCATAGTGATAAATCGCAATGGAGCATATACTTGAATCTTCTGTAACGATAAAGTAAAGGAGAATAATATTCTGAAGTACTTTATGATATGAGAATTGATTTCTAACAGTCTGTTAAATTTTGTTGTGCAATTTCCATAAGAAAATTTTACCTTTTTGGTGTTTTCTTTGCCTTTTTGGTATTTTCATTCATTAGCGGAAGAGTATCAGCTTTCAAAGCTTAGCTGAGAGATGATTTCGAAATTTTCACTTAAGATTGTATCTCGTCAGAGAAGGCAATATTTTGTTCAAAGTGTTTTTTCTATCAATAAAGGAGCGTGGTGATAAAACAAATTGAAGGACAATCCCCAAATTTAATATGTGCAACATGCTGCTTTTGATCATGAGGTTTGCATGGAGTTTTTAGTTTATTGCCCAAGCTTTCTCCATCAAGATTTCTTTTGCATTGATAAAATTTGTCATTATTTATATTTGAAAGGGCTGATTGTTTCCTTTATTCAATGCTGCTGTTTTTAGATATGAGATTTATTTCTTTTCACAATTTCAATCTATTTGCTATTGATCTTTGATTATTGAATCTACTAATCAGTGAGCTTGTTACGTTGAGCATGAAAGGAAAATTGTGTTCGCTCTTATTGAGCGTGCTGTTCATGTTAAAATTCGAGAGAATTTTGCTTACGCTGGCACGTGGAATGAATTTGATGCTCAATTCAAGCAAGTAGGTTTTTATAGCATGTCTGCTCGAGTTTATATAGTAAGCTATTCTCCAGGAATGATGAAAACCCGTAAGAACTTATGAACCTGCATAAGAGAAAGGTGTTGGTCAAAATAAGTGAGCCTTCGATTTCAAGACAAAATTTTATGTAACGACTCTTGTTTTTCTTTCGATTGTTAAAAAAATGACCCATGATATTTAGAACCATTTATTTTAAATCATGCCAAATGCTTTAAATTGGTGTGGACATACTACATGATAAATCATTGTTTAAATATCAAGCGAGAAATATCACTTTACTAACAGAAAGTAAATTTAGGTGGAATATTGATTTGTCAGGAACAGTGCCTAATTCAAGCCTTTTTTTCTAATTTTGTGTACCCGCAATACCTCGTGAGTTTGGGTAGCCAATATAGCCTTAACATCTAGCTTCCTGGAACATTTGATAAAAGCTATGGGAAGTTTTGGTCATTTGAAGCATTTAAATTCAAATTTGTCATCAGAGATTTATTTAGCTTCCAAGTGTCTTTGTTTTGCTTGACATTTCTAAATTGTGTTTTTTTAACAACTGTATTAAATATATCCTTTTTTATTTGGAGAATATTCATTAGTTTTTTGATGACAACGTTCAGATGAACGCATGCGCGATGAATTCTTAATTCTTTATTTATTACTTTATGATAATACATCTCGACTACAGTGTAGTCTGTAATTGAAACCCAATCGTTTATAACTATGATTTATCGGTTTTATCATTTGTTTGCCTTTTTGATAATCTTTTTTGACATTTTTTTTCATTGTATTGTTTGGATTTGATATAATGCTTTCGAAGTTTGTTGTTATGTGATCTTAGCTGTTTTTCAGTTGGGCCCTTCGGGCACTTGTGCGGATGCGCAATAGCTGATCTGGTGAATGAACTACTGCACAAAACTGAGACATTGTTGTCATGAAAGCTTGACGTTTTTAATTCAAAACACTTCAGTATTCAAGCTTTTTTCCTCTGTGTGTGGAGGCATTTGGTTATGAGGGGAAACTACCCTTGGTGTTTTGGTCAAGTGTCCTCTGTGTGTGGAGGCACTTGTGTGTGGTATTAGCCAGACAAGATTCGTTAATCTGTCCAGTTTCGGCATTGATTAAATTATATATGCCTAAGGGGTTCTTCATCAGGTCCATTGTTTATTTTTAAAGATACAAAACCATTAACAAAGGCTAGATTGAACGATATTTTATAATCAACCTTATTGGCCCCCTGGGGTACCTGGACATTTAAACCCTTCGCAGCTTTAGAGTAGGGAGTGGCGATCATTGCTGCAACCCTTGGTTTTAACGGAACGTTGAATAAAAGCTATGGGGCGTTGGTCTAGTGAAGCGTTCAAGTTTATATTGGAATACTCATCAAAGACTAGTGTTATCTTCTAAATATATTGGTTCTTCTAAATATTTCTATATTGTAATTATCTTTCTATATCAAATTTGACCATATTTTTTTTTCATTTTAGAATCCATTCATTATTATTGTAAAGAAGATATAGATGACTGCATGCGCGATGATTTATTAATTTTATACATATCTTTTTACTTTATAATGTATCTCGACTACAGTGTAGTTGAAGCCCAATCGTTTATGACTATGGTTTTTTGGATTTATTCTTGTTTACTTTTTGATAACCATTTTTGACTTTTATTTTCTTTGTATGATTTGACTTTTGACAAACGCTTCCCCATTTTTATCGTTACGTGATTATATCTTTTTTTCAGTTGGCCCTTCGTGCACTTGCTCGGCTGCGCTTTAGTCGATCTGGGGCATGAACTACTTACAAAAAAAACTGAGACATTGTTCTCATGGAAGCTTGGTGTTCTTCCCAAGTGTCCTCTGTGTGTGGAGGCACTTGGTTATGAGGGGAAACGTACCCTCGGTGTTACTGGCAGTGTCCTCTTTGCGTGAGGCACTTGGTTATGTAACACAAGACCCTTAGTGCTATTGGCAATTGTCCTTTGTGTGCCGAGGCACTCAAGTTTGAGCGCCGAGAACCTTGGTGTTACTGACAAGTCCCCAAGCAGATGCATCTTCATCAGAATCAAAGTTCGAAGATACCGATTGTGTTACTGTTATTCTTCTCTTTTTTGCTGACTTCACTGGTGGGTTTTTTTAAAAGTTTTAATTCTTTTCTAGTTAAATGATTGTTCCGCATCAAGTTATGTTTAGGAAGACTATGAGGAATTGAGAGCTGTAACAATACTAAGGTGTTGCTGTAAGGTGGTGTTCTCTCCCGGGCCTTTTCTCTGTTCTTATGTTCCGTTTGCGTTTTTTTGGGGGTTTGGGGGAGCTTCGCTCGTGGCGGAAGAAGGCCATTGTTCTTCTTCTCAACCCCCTCAAAAACGGTTGGGGTTTTATTTATGGCCGTCTTTGCGATTGGTGCACCGACAGCCCAAAACTAAATGGTTCAAATGATGAGAGAACACCACCTTCAGTCTTATGATTGACAATGGTAAAACATTCTGAGGACCATCCAACTAAGGTTATTTGCTAATGGTTTTTGTTTAGTAACCTGGAACAAATATTAAGCTCTGTTCACACGATACCGGTTTCATTTCATATCGGTTCCCTCATTTTGTTGACATATCATACCCTACCGACGTGATTTATGTTGATACGGCCCCATTTGAGTAGCTGTAAAAAACTGTATTTTGCAAAATTTCGCAAATTACTAATTTTTCAAAATGCTGTTCAAACTGAGACTTTTACTTTATTTGATTCTCCCGTATATCATGGTAATCTTTTGGATCCTAATCCTAACTATATGTAAGAAATTGCGGTGGCGCTTTGCTGCTCACGAGACGTGTCCTGGGGCTTAAGGCTGGGGTGAAACCCGTTTTTATAGCTTTTATATTTTTATGATTTTATGAGTTGGAATTCTCAGTATTGTTCGAATGTATGCAAGAATACGAAGTACGTAAAACCGAAGGAATCTCACGAAATTGGAGAAGATCACTCTTGAACGTTGGAACTCTCTATGCGAAGTTGAATTCTACCAAAGACAAAGACAAAGTGAACGTTGAAACTCTCTATGCGAAATTGAATTCTACCAAAGACAAAGACAAAGTGAACGAACAGACAAGTAACACTTATCGTATTATAATTTTGTCATATATATATATATTCATTTTTTTCCTTATTCGATATTTATATACAGTCCTCTTAGAACAATTTTTTCGTACCTAATCTAACTCTGCTACCCTAGGTGGAAATACCAAAAGAATTTCCCTACCTAGGCCTGATATTGAACCTAAGCAGGGATAATATTCTAAATGGTCTTAACCTTCGCCGGATTTATGTTATTGATTTATCTATTTGAGTTTAAATGTTTATGGGGATGTAGATAGGTTTGTAGCCCACAATGTCTCTTGATAGCGGCAGCGCCACAGCTCCCTCTAGGCCAGCTTCAACATCCTTGCTTGCGAAAAAGAAAAGAATCCGAGGAGGCTACAAAGCTCACTGTACAAAATTAATAACTGAAGCAAAACATGTTTTTGAATCTGATGAAGTAAATCTCTTTAAACTCGAACATTTGTCTGTGTCATTAAAAGATAAATTAACTGTTTTGCGGAGTATTGATGATGAAATTTTCAACCTCATTGACGACGATGATGTAGAAGCTGCAGTTTTAGAATCTGAAGAACTTAGGTCTGAAATTCAGGGATTTATTATAAGAATAGATGCAAAACGGGACGAGCTCAAACTAGGAGTAACAAAAAACGTGAGCTCGACAGAAACCTCTTTACCTAGCCGCCAAATTTCAGTGCCTGAAAATGCAGCGAAATTGCCAAAACTTCAGTTACCCAAATTTCAAGGTGACCCAAGAAAGTGGCCAGAATGGTGGGATGCATTTGACGTGATTCATAACAGTACATCTCTAACTCCCACCAACAAGTTCAGGCATTTGAAATCTCTCTTAGAAGGCCCAGCAGAAACAGCGATTTCGGGTATACAAATAACCGGGGCGAATTATAACGAAGCAATAGACATATTAAGACAGCGTTTTGCTCAAAAACAAGTTATCATGAATGCACACATGGAAACATTACTAAATCTACAAAAGGTATCGTCTGACAGGGATCTTAAGGCTTTTAGAAAGCTGTTTGACACTATCGAAGTAAATGTGCGTAGTTTAAAGTCTCTGGGAATCGATTTTGAACAATACGGGGCACTTTTGGTTCCAGTATTAATGAGCAAAATTCCTGATGAAATTCGTTTAGAAATTACGAAGGGGGCAAAGGGTGAAAATTGGAAGCTTGATTATATCATGACTATTTTGAAAGCCGAACTTGAAGCGCGTGAACAATGCAGCCTTTTGAAGCAAAGTAGTTCTAGCACAAGTAAAATAAATGCTGCCAGCGCGCCGTACACAACATCAGCCTTTTTTTCGTCGGATGGAAAAATCACATGCTCATTTTGCAAGGGAACACACCAGTCAGCAAAATGCCACATTGTTTCCAACCCACAAGCAAGAAAAGAAATCCTGAGGAAACAAGGACGATGTTATGTTTGTTTGAAAAAGGACACTTGTCAAGAGCCTGTTCTAGCAACATTCGATGCTATTCCTGCAAACTACGTCATCATGTGAGCATATGTGAGTCGAGAGGTCAAGCACCCCACGCTGAGCAAGCTAATCCTCTACAGTTGCATCAGTCATCAGTCCATCAGGGTGTTAATCCCCGAGCGCCTGGTGTTAATTTTGTACAGTCAGAGGTGCAAATTGGTCAATTACCAAAAGGGACACGGATAGGCGCCGGTGACAACACTCGTCCAGGTGCCTCAAGCATGCCGCAGCCTCATGGCCCCTCAACGTCTACTTTGTTTGTCGATGCAAAAAATGCTGTTCTTTTGCAGACGGCCAAAGGCTACATTTCTCCGGCCACGAATTCTCAGCAAACGGCCGCGGCGCGTCTAATTTTCGATAGTGGAAGCCAAAGGTCATACATCTCCGCAAGATTACGAGACTCCTTAGCCCTGCCAACCGTTGGCCGCGAAACATTGACCATAAAAACTTTCGGAGAAGAAGAAGGCGAAATCAAGGTATGTGACGTCACTCAGTTCTGTGTGAGAAGTCCATATAACGATACGATTGTCTACGTTACAGCTTATGTTGTTCCCGTTGTCTGCTCACCACTACAAAATCAGGAGATAAATTTTGCAACTCAAGCATACCCTCATCTTGCAACTCTCCCCTTAGCTGATTTCCAAATATCCTCATGCTCTTCAGAAATTGATATTCTCATTGGACTGGACTTTTATTGGTCATTCGTATCTGGAGGATGTATAAGGGGGGAGAAAGGGGGTCCTTGTGCCCTTGAATCTACACTTGGATGGATACTGTCCGGAGAAATACAAAATTGTAAGGAATTAAGGCCTGTATCCACGAACCTGACGCAAACACACGTTTTAAAGGTGGCAGAACGTACCCTAGACGACACAGTATCTGACTTCTGGAAATTGGAGAGTCTTGGAATAGATCAAAGGAGGGAAAACTCGGTCTATCAACAGTTCGAAGAAGAGATTCAATTCAAGAACGGGCGTTACGAAGTTAAGCTCCCCTGGAAGCCGAACCATCCTCTTCTGCCAGATAACTACGTTTTGTGTCGCAAGAGACTTCAAGGACTGTCTCACAAATTAAAGGCAGATTCAAATTTAATGAAAGAATACAGCTCTATAATGAAATTACAAGAAGAAATGGGCATAATTGAAAGGGTAAAGGACGACCAAGAAGCCCCAGTAGGCCATACCCACTATCTGCCGCATCATCCCGTCGTGAGACAAGACAAGTCAACAACAAAGGTTAGAATTGTGTATGACGCATCCGCTAGCGTTGCTGGAGGAGCCTGCTTGAACAACTGCCTATTCGAAGGACCATGTCTCCTTAAGACAGTTGCAGAAATTCTCGTCAAATTCCGGCTTCATCGAGTAGCTCTGACGTCAGACATCGAAAAGGCGTTTCTAATGATATCCATTCACAACTCTGATCGCGATGTACTGCGTTTTCTGTGGTTCACGAATATTGAAGAAACAATGGAGATACAAGAGTATAGATTCTGCCGAGTGGTATTTGGAGTTTCATGCAGCCCGTTTCTTCTGAATGCCACGCTCAGGAGACATATTGAAAGTTACGCCGCAGAAGAACCAGAAATATGCAACAAGCTCATCAACTCTTTATATGCTGACGACATAAACTCAGGAAGTCACACAATCGAAGAAGCTTTTGAATTGTATGAAAAATCAAAAAGATTGATGCAGAAAGGAGGTTTTAATCTGAGAAAATGGCGCTCCAATTCGTCAGAAGTAATGAATGCAATTCGACAACAAGAGAGCTCAGATGCAGTCAACTGTGAAAACACTCGAATGCATCGCGAAGATGATGAATCCTTCGCCAAATCCACAACTGGAAAACTCACGACAGAAGAAGCAAGTGATGCCAAGGTGCTAGGTGTTCCATGGAACAGTGAAACTGATGTGCTTAGCTTCAAGCTGTCACATTTGGCTGAATTAACAAAGGAAAACAAGGTCACGAAGAGAGCTATTTTAAGAACAATAGCGAGCTTATTCGACCCATTAGGACTAATCACTCCCATCAGCACACCCTTGAAAGTATTCTTACAACAGCTTTTCGAATCAAAGCTCGAATGGGATGAACAAGTTCCAGAGCATTTCCAGAAAGATTGGATAGTCATGATGTCACAGCTCAAGCGCATCGGGAAGGTGTCTGTGCCAAGATATTACTTCAGCGATATCCCATCAATTAAAAAACCCGAAAGAATTCAGTTGATTGGTTTCTGCGATGCCTCAGAAAAAGCGTATGCTGCTGTCGTCTATGCCAGAGTTACAACGGACGATAAAGCATCTGTAACCCTTGTTATGTCAAAGTCACGAATTGCTCCTCTTTCTCGAATGACTATCCCTCGACTCGAGTTGTTATCATGCCTGATTCTTGCAAGGTTGATCACTGCACTCAAAGAAATGCTCAGTCCCTTGATAGAGATAGACATATCACATTGCTTTACCGACTCTATAAGCGCTCTTTATTGGATCAAGGGAGCATCAAAGGAATGGAAACTTTTCGTGGAAAACAGAGTACAAGAAATAAGAAAACTTGTTGGCCCTGAAAGGTGGTTGCACTGTAGGGGTAAAGAAAATCCAGCAGACATACCCACAAGAAAGGCGAGTGTGGCAAAGCTTGCAGAGGGATCGACATGGTGGAGAGGCCCAACTTGGCTTGCAAATGATCACGTATCGATTCCTATAGCTCAAGAATTGTTCGAGACAGAAGAGATGCCAAGCGACTGCAGCAGCGAGTTGAAAGCTTCAGACCCTTCTAAGACAACGGTTCTAAGTACGTCCGCAGAGATTACGCACAATCTTCCAGAAATAATCCATATTGAAAGATACAGCTCTTACAACAAGGTGTTACGAATAACAGCGTACGTACTTCGATTTATCTACAACATTAGAAATAGAGACGACAGAAAAACAGAAGAACTCTCAGCTAAGGAAATGGAAACGGCAGAAAATATCCTTATTCAGTCCGCACAAATGACCATCAACAAGGCCTACGTCAAGAAAATAGAGCCACAACTCGATGTATTCAAGGATAAGGATGGAATTTTGAGATGTGGTGGTCGTCTGAATAATTCAAATCTAGATGTTCAAGCCAAGAATCCCATATTACTACCTAGAGACAGCCAGTTGACCATCCTGATCATCCTTCAAAGTCATTCGAACGTCATGCATAACGGCGTGAAGGAGACCCTTGCAGACTTACGATCACGATTTTGGATTGTCAAGGGCCGTCAGCTTGTGAAGAAGACAATCAGACCGTGCAGATTGTGCATCCGTATCCAAGGCCAGTCATACGGAGAACCGAAAATGAGCCAACTGCCAGATTTTCGCGTTTACGAGGCACACGCATTTGACGCAGTCGGCATTGACTTTGCAGGCCCTCTGTACGTAAGAACGGAAGACAATTCACTGAAGAAGGTGTATATAGCTTTATTTACGTGTGCTACCACTAGAGCGTTACACATTGAAGTTGTACCAGATATGACAACCAATACCTTTTTATTGTGTCTCAAGCGTTTCGTTAGTAGAAGAGGGATTCCAAGAATCATCGTAACAGATAATGCAAAAACATTCAAAGCGGCTTCAAAAATACTCGTCAAGCTCTTCAAGTCAAGGGAAATAAGTAATTACCTTACAGATAGAAAGATACGATGGAAATTTAACCTTGCTAAGGCCCCATGGTGGGGTGGATTCTACGAGAGACTAATACGCGGAATAAAATCATGTCTTAAAAAGAATTTATCAAAGGCGAAACTCTCTTATGATGAGATACAGACCATCATTATACAAATCGAATCGGTATTAAACTCAAGACCTCTTACATATCTTTATTCATCGGAACTCGAAGAACCGTTAACGCCCTCTCACCTTGTAATCGGGAGAAGACTACTTAGTCTACCAGAACGGTATTTCGAAGAAGATATCGACTACAACGAGACGGCAGACGTTGCAAGAAAAAGGGAACAGCATGTTGCTCGAGTTTTTCAGCATTACTGGCGGCGCTGGAAGAAAGAATATCTAATCGATCTTCGGGAATATCACAAGGTGCCAAATAAGACTTGTGATAGACCAAATATCAACATCGGAGATGTCGTTACGGTTCAAGATGAAAACATTCGAAATCGCATTGAATGGAAACTTGGTCGAGTTGCAGATTTAATCATAGGACGCGATGATGTGACCCGCGGTGCCAGAATTCAGCTAGCTAACGGAAATTTCATAGAACGACCAATTCAAAAACTGTTTCCGTTAGAACTTTCTTCAGAGCCCAAAGAAGCCTGTGCGACCAATGAAAAAACGACAAGGTCCGAGGACAAGCAAGAAAAAACAAAGAGAAAGGCAGCAGTCATCGCGCAAGAAAGTATTCGAATTATTGACCAGCTTGAGGAAGATAACGAACTATGAGGAAAGCTGGTCAAGGGGGGAGTGTAAGAAATTGCGGTGGCGCTTTGCTGCTCACGAGACGTGTCCTGGGGCTTAAGGCTGGGGTGAAACCCGTTTTTATAGCTTTTATATTTTTATGATTTTATGAGTTGGAATTCTCAGTATTGTGCGAATGTATGCAAGAATACGACGTACGTAAAACCGAAGGAACTCTCACGAAATTGGAGAAGATCACTCTTGAACGTTGAAACTCTCTATGCGAAGTTGAATTCTACCAAAGACAAAGACAAAGTGAACGTTGAAACTCTCTATGCGAAATTGAATTCTACCAAAGACAAAGACAAAGTGAACGAACAGACAAGTAACACTTATCGTATTATATTTTTGTCATATATATATATATTTATATATATATTCATTTTTTCCTTATTCGATATTTATATACAGTCCTCTTAGAACAATTTTTCGTACCTAATCTAACTCTGCTACCCTAGGTGGAAATACCAAAAGAATTTCCCTACCTAGGCCTGATATTGAACCTAAGCAGGGATAATAATCTAAAGAAATTCCGAAGAAATCCAGAAATCTCTGTCAAATCTGTTCTAAAATAAGAAAATCCCAGTCAGGATTTTAAGGATTTTAGAAATCCCAAAACTCTCGTACGCTACTTGAGGTAGTGAAATGCTCCTCGCTTGAAAGGTTGTTTGAGAACATTTGTATGTCCTTAGGATTTGCATGAACCACCTCATTGGTATGAACAAAATGGGAGCTCTACAGCCGGCTGGCGATAACCGCGGCTCTACGCGGCGGCCGTGGACTCTCTGGCCGGAGGTCGCACGGAGGCGGCGTGAGCTACGCAGCAACCTGCAAGCTACAGCTGGAGCTATGACCCGTACCTGCTACGCAATATTTATAATCACGATAAAAGTGAGCCGTAGCGATTATGGGATGCGCAGAAAAATGCGCATTGAGGTGTTTATAATTGGGATTGTTTGGATTCTTTACGACAATTTATTAGCACGGAGAAGCCGAAACGTACAAGGGCGGCGCTAGATATGGGGCTGGGGAAGCCCCCCACTTCTTTTGGGTTGAGCCCTTCCACTTTTTTACAAAAAATTGTTAAAATGAAAAGG